TTGGAGGTGCTTTGAGAATTAGATGCCGAGCATCTACATCATAATCTTCCTCCTGAAGTTTTAAAAAAAAAAAATGTAAGCTTTAGCCTTGGGTGTTGTTTATTTCTTTTTTACTTGATGAACTTAATGTGGACATGACTTAATCTGGAAAAAGTGACTTAATAGGAAGCTTTAGTGTTCCATACCTTCAGTTCAATGCCATTAATCTTAACCGAAATCAGCTTGAGATCAACCCCATCCAAAGCCAATGGAGCAGCGACACCTGTCAAAAGTCAAAATAGCATCCATTCACTAAACAATCAAGAAAAGAACGTAACTTTGACTCTATTAAAGGTCTTTTCATTTAATTAATATATGTTATCAGAAGTTAATAGACTTATTTTGGAAAGAAAAAAGTGTATGTCAAGGAAAATGACAAGGAATACCATTGACTCTAGGAACAACATTGATTTTTGCACACACGATTGTCTTTTCTTCACCCAATGAAAAACTTAAATCCACCTGAATTAACAATTCATTAACAAAAAAACCATAAAAATGTAAACTTTAAAAAAAAACATGCATTTTAGTTGAACAAAGTACAAACCGTATCAAAGTAGTAATCTGGTAATTTGTAATCTTTTAGGAAAATCTCTTTAGGACCCTCCATTTTCGATTCTTCAACTGATTCTGACACGGATTCGGTTGCCACAGAACAAATGAGTCTCCTACTTGTTTGATTAGTTCTCTAAAAAACAAACATGAATCATTATTAAACAAAATATACTCATTTAATAACAAGAATCTTATATGTTTGTTAGATATGTGGAGTCCTATACTATCAATATATACAATGTAGGCTAACATTAGTTGATATTTATTAAAATAGTTGTGTGTAAAAACTAACCGGTGAATAAAGGTATGGAAATCGGCAACTTTTGCGTATAATTTGCTAAACAAAATACAATTATGCCATGAAAACGGATCAATATCAGATTTTAAACACAAATGGAAAGACTTTTAACTATTATTGATATGAATAACGAACCTGTGAATTATGATAAAGCCTGTATTTAGAGATGGTGTTGGAGTATTTTACTGATGGGATACGACATGTAGGTTGAAGCTGCAATGTTTTCAATCAAAAAATGTAAAAAAACTCGTGTGAAACGTTTTAAAAACCATTAAAGTATAGGTCGAGTGAATTAGAAAAATATAATATAAACGTTTTATCGCACACTTTATGGGAACTTTTAATTATATAGATGAAAAAGTGTTGCATTTCTTCGGCTCCAAAGAACATGGTTGACTTGGAAAAATTAGCCAACACATGTAATCTAGCACACTTAAATTTGACACCAAATGACATAAAAATCTTATAAATGAATCCTGGAGGGGAAAAAGATTAAATTACGAAGAAAATCAACTTATAAAGATGTAAATAGATCAAAAGGGTAAAAGAAACATAAAGACGAACTTAAACTACCAGATATTGCATTTATGGGGTGTTTCAATGTGAGTTTAAACTAATTCTTGTAATTTGAAGCCACGATAATCAGTTACATTTCTTTAGGTAAACTAAATATTATTCTGAATTGCTGATAATTAATTGCCAAAAAGTAAGATTTTTTGCAAGAATACTGCTCCAAATAATAGTCAAATTAATGTAAAATTACACGATGCTCAAAATTTTCACCACTGAGAGTAACACACTAACACGTATCCTTAATCTTCACGGATCTTGAAAACAAAACGCTAGCTGTGGAAAACTTTTATTAAGTTAATTATATAACAATCAAGAACACAAACGAACATAAAAATTAATGAATGGTATTCGGTAATCACATGTGCAGACGAAATCAAACCCAAGAGACAAGTCCTCGGCAAGCTCGAACCTTTGCAGGGAATAATCAATCGAGCCATCGTCAACTAATTAAGATTCCAGTAGATTCGCAAAAAAAGGTATAAATTATTTCAAAAAAAGATATCCAGAAAAACAAAACCCCATAAAAAAAGCTAGCCCTTTTAAACCCTAGTCCCTAATTGATACAATCGACTGTGAAGTGAGCTACCAGTTGGATGTTTCTTATACGGCTTGTATACAAGATAGGGTTAATTTGAAATAATGGACAAGAAAAATCTGATTAAAAACACGAAATGAAAAATGAAATTACCTTTCTTTGATCTGAGTGATCAGTGATGAAGTGGGAATCTGATAGCCTCGATAAAACCTACGATGAAACAAGGATAAAAAGAATCGGCCCAATGAAGGGGTATTTATATAAAGTTTTGATGATGATAACGTATAGATGGGTATGGCCAGCGAGATAGATTCTTAGTTGGATTTGTAACGTTTTACAAATTAATTACATAACTTTTTTCTTAATTAAAACTTAAAAGATTTATTTTGTAAATTGTAATAATGTATAATCCCTAAAATAGTATCGGGCATCTTTGGAAAGCAAGGGGTGTAAAATGGTCCGGAACCTGGAATTTACATTTTAGTAGAATTAAGAATCGGATCGATATAAGGAAATTGGTTTCGGGTAGGGACCGAGTATACCAAGTTATAAAATCACTTTAGTACGTTTAAAACTTATTTGGATTTGGAACCGAAATTGGGTTTTGGGCATACCATGTCTCTTTTCCAATTTAAGGTAAAAAGTTAACTCTTAATTCATTATTTTGTAGTTTTTATCCATCTTTTTCAACCAAATTGTGTTTATTGTGTTTTATTCAATTTGCAGTTTTATTTTGGGTTGTTGGTGTTTGATGGATCAAATCATACGTTCGGACATCGCATTTTGTTGGGAGGTATGAGGACAAGATAAGCGGAATTCAATTATGTGTTAACAAATGATGTGGAAGTCATGGTTGTCAAGTTCGTTGACATGGTCATATCGAAAGGATTTGATATCACACTTGAATTGATTTTGAACATATTCACCAAAGTGAAGAAATTTGGTAAAAACACCATACTTGTTGCGTAAAGGATACACCTGCAAAAAAAAGATAAAAATATTGGTTTAAAAACATGATATAATAGTATATACCGGTCCATTTCCAACTTTTCAAAGATTCAAACCATAAGGAATCATTACAAATCTTGATAATTGAAAAAGTTTTCTACCTCAACATCATTATTTGAGTCAAGTTTTACTTTTACAGTAAAGCATATATTTGATTATAATAAGAAATAATAATCTTTGTTTCTTTCAAATAGAATTGTAAATGGTTTAAAGCAAATAAGCTAACTAGATCGAACAATAATAAGAAATATCATTGTTAAATATTTAAATTTGAATATTTTAGGATTAATTGCAAATTCTTTCTCACAAAAATAGAAAGATTATTGTTACTGAAATAGGATATCAATACATAGCCATAGGTTAAGCACTTTCTTCTTTTATATGTATTTTCATATTTTGTTTAACCTAAGGTTAAATAATCTTTCTACAATTGTGCTATATACCACATCTTATCGTTATCTGGATCACAAAAGGATTCAAATGTCACTGAGACTAGTAATAGGTGAATTTCAAATATCATAATGAACCACATCAAACATAGAAGAAACATTTATATTTAAACTAATAAAAGGTAAATGAATGTGTTTTCTAAAATGGCTTGCATGACATGATAGACTAGCGTTGTTTTTTTATTACAATAAATAAGATGACTTTACATTAATGACTTAAGGGCATGAGCATTGAGGTGGACCAAACTTTGATGCGCAACTGGAGACCGAGACTTAGTGGTCGGATATAGGTCACATGAGCTTACACATCGAAGAAGGATTTGGCGGGTGCGGAAAGCCTTCATAGAAAATCCAAATTTGTCAAATTCAAAGGTAATTTATTGTCTCTAGTAAACTATCTGAGATTTTCGAAGGTTTATGGGATTTTGTAAGTTTGGATTGCACGACATGGGTGACTGTTATGGACGACCATTACCCACTAATATCATCCTTACTATGTAACATCAAGTTCCAAGTAAATAATACCTTTGAGTTTTGGTAATTCAAGTCTTAAATAAAGAATTTTGTGGTGACCACAACGTGGCAAATGATGCACCACGACATGGTCAAGGCCAGATGAAACGCCCATTCATTTGGGTCCCCACGATGTGGCATGATCTTAGCCACGACATGGCGACGACCAGGTCATAAAAACCTAATTTTCGGGCTTTAAGGCCTATTTAAGGGATGTGATGGTTAGGGCTTGCACACCCTCAGCCTCCATCACCTCCCTTTCGACCTAAAAGCACCCATAGTCACCATTGTTGAGTTTTTGAAGTTTTTTGGTGGTGTTTGGTGAAAAAAAGAATAATAACGCATCCATTGTGTGAATATTCAGCAAGCAAGCCCTTCGTCCACTTTCTAGCTCATTTTCTGGACCATTATGAGTCTTCAAGTTTCAACCTTTATGTTTCATGCTTCTAGATCTAGGTTTCTTTGCATTGTTCTTCAAGATTGGTATAGTTTGAATGGTTGGACTCCATAAAGTTGGCAACTTTATGGATCATGGGGTCCACTTCCAGATTCGAAGTTTAATAGAGTATTGATGTTATGCATGGATTTTTGGGTCTCATTTCCTCCATTGTTGACATAGTTGGAGTTCAATACATACATTGGACATGCATGTCTATAAAATACCGATTTTTATGACTTATTGGGTGAGGAAAAACCTGTAAACACAAGGATTATTAGATAAAGTCAAATAATAAATAGATAATTATATC